GGACAATCTCTTATGCCCCCCCCACTGCACCTTCTTTTATAGCCTGTTCTTATATCTCTACCATTTCTGTCTCATCCAAATTTATATCCTCTGCCTTCTGTTCTCTAACTTCAGCTAGAGAAGTTCTCTAACTTCATTTCAATTGATGCTTTGGTGGGTGCTCACTTCTAGTCACTTCTGGGTTTTGCATTCATTTCTCTGCTGACTGAACTTTATCCTCTAGTATTTTCTCCAGAAAAGGATTCCACTCTTTATACATTCAAAAATAATTTTCTGGGGGCGCCTGGGTGGCCCAGTCAATTAAGCATCTGCCTTTGGCTCAGGTCATGACCTCAGGGTCCTGGGATCGAGTCCCGCATTGGGCTCCCTGCCTAGCGGGGAGTCTGCTTCTCCCTCTGCCTGCCACTCCCCCACTCTAGCTCGTGCTTTCTCCCTCTCTTTCAAATAAATAAAATATTTTTAAAAAGTAATTTTCTGTTACATAAATACCTAAGCAACACTTTAGTTGCTAGAAATTACTCAGGTTACATTTTCTTTCCTTGTGTCCTTCTAAGCATCACCCCACAGTGGGTGCTGTTGTGGAGAAATCTGCAGGGAGCCTGCTGTCTTTTCCCATTGTCAGTGACTTGATCTTTTTGCCCGGCTGCTTAAAATCTTTTGTGCTCTATCTCTGAAATCCAGTAACTTTTATCAAGGACATGCCTCTGTGTTCATTATTCTTCACCATTTTTTCCTGGAATAGGACTTTGCTTTCCAATCTGAAACTGAGAGCTTCTTTCATTTTAGGATAGGATCTTGAATTTCTCTTCAGATACCTTTTCTGTCCCATTACTTTGGTTCTCTTCTTTAGGAGTCCTGTCCTTCCACCCCAACTCAGGGCCCTTGACCTCCACAAACATCTATCCCCTCATTGGAAAAAATAGAGAGAGCTCATCCTCCTTGCCTCCCACTTTTGCTTATGTCACATCTCCTTTATGTGTCTTCCATGTCTGTCATTTCTGCCTAATCTGTTTCAATTGTTAATTCATTTTATTAAATTCACTTTTGCTTGGTCATTAACTCCATGTACCCCTCTGTGTTCAGTGGTATCTCTCTTCTTCTGCTCTCAGTGTTGTCCTCATTGGTCATCTGATTGTATTCTTTTTTACCTTCCTTGGCCCAGTTCTGATGGTTAATACTTTATCTCGTTTGACCTGACCATCTTTTCCCTGAGTTCTTATGTATTTGCTTTTTGCAAGTGCAAAAAAAAAAAAAAAAGACACAATTACTTTTTTTTTTTTTTTTAAATAATGCACATAGGTTTGCACATTCTTTTTAGCCATATGATGATCATATTATCTGGTGAGTATTCTTCACATGCTTTCTCCCTCCTGTATCTTCTCCCTTTTTATTCATACTAATTTGTATAAATCCTGTACTGATTGTTTCTGACTATTGTTCACCTCTGAGTTATTCCTGGACCAGGGATAGATAGGATGTTCATTTGGAGAGTGTCAGGGCTATTTTCAGGCTAGGAGGAATTCTCCTTAGTGGAGGAGTGTGTGTGTTCCAACCTAAAGAGACCAGCAGTTGCGAGACTATCCACCCTGCAGTCTGTCTCCTGCTCTAGGAATGGCTTCCTACACATATGGTCTCCTTGTCATTTCCTTGTGGAGCCTTGATTTTCCTGCTTCTACCTGGTGATAGGTTGGGTCCAGAGAATCTTCCCTCTCCAGTTTGAGCATGCATTTCTCTCCTTATCTTCTCTCTCTCTGTAAATAGTTTTACTATAAACAGCATACTATGCAGGCATAAAAATGCACAGATCATACATTTAGAGCTTGATTAGTTTTTAGAGAGTGAACACATCTGTTGAGCCACTACATGGGTCAAGAACCAGGATATGAACCTTGATCAATGAACTCTCAGTCCAGTACTTCTGATCCAGCTCAGGCCCTTGACCTCTACAAACATGTGCCTCTTCTTTGGAAAAATGGAAAAAATAGAGAAAGCCCTGTCTTACTTGCCTCCCACAGCTGTCATAAGCCTCAGGATGACAGAGCGCTTTGTCATTTGGAAAGCATGACATGAATGCCAGCTCTCTAAAAGGCATCACAGTGGCAAAGATTAATGCTATCCATACTGTTTTTCCAGTACTGAAATCGAATCACAGAAGGGCAGCTGCTTAGCTTGGGCACACAGGGCAATGCTGATGGCCGAGCTGGGGTCAGAGGCTACAGCTCTAAAGTTGCCTTCTCTGCTCAATCCTCTTGTCTTTGTTTTGAAACTAAACAGAAAGGTAACCACTGTCCTGACTCCCAGCACTACCATTTTCTTCTACTTGTTTTTGAAGTTCATGTAAATGGAATCATGCAGTATTCCATTGTTCTGATAGACCATAATTCCTCTGTTGATGGCCATTGGGGCAGTTTTCAACTTTGGGACTAATAGAAAGATTTTTGCCGGGAACCTTCTTGACAAAATGTTTTAGGTGAACATAGACACACGTTTCTGTCTGACGCATACCTAGGAGTGGAATTGTTGAATATTAGAATGTGCATGTCTTCAGCTTTAGTAGGTACTATCAAAGAGTTTCTCAGAGTTGTTGAACCAAGTTAGAAGCTCATCATTAATTTAAGAGCGCTCTTATCACACCACATCCTTGTCAACACTTTGTATTCTCTCTCTGTCATTTAGTCATTCCGGTGGGTGTGTAGAGGTACAGAGTGGTGGTTTTAATTTGCCTTTTCTGGATGGCTGATGAAACTGAGCACCTGTTCATGTGTTTATTGGCCATCCTTATGTTTAAATGCCCTCATTTGTGAAGTTTCCAATTTTTTTGCCCATTTTTCTACTGTGCCATTTTAATTTGTCTGTGGGAGGGCTTTTGTTTTGTGTTTTTTACATATATTCTAGATACAAATCCTATGTTGATCCCATTCATTACAAACATCTCTCCCATGTATTACAAATATCCTCTCTCACTTTCTTACAGTTGTCTTTTGATAAACAGAAGTTCTTCATTTTAATATAGTATAATTCATTAATTTTTCCCTTTATGGTTAGTACTTTTTGTGTTCTACTTAAGAAAGCTTTGCCTGACCTCATCCCCTTTTCCCTGATGATTAGAAAAGTTTTATGGGAATGTGCTGTCTATAAACTGCATAACAGTTCACACCACCTTCTTCCTCTCCCTCCCAATGGGGCAGGTGCGTCTCCTAATCCCAAGCACTCCTACGTCATAAATTACCTCCCAGGTCAGCCTTGTCTCACAAACACATGGCCACACAGTGACACCACACTCTCAAAGAGCTCTGGGGTTAAAGTTCATGGAATCAAACATTTAATAAGGTGCAGTCCATATTTATGGGACCAACTGGTGGTATGCTCAGAGTTCTCATCTTTTTACCATTCCATGGAGAGATGAACAGTAATGGGAACACAGGGGCTTTCCTGACCCCAAATGTGCACTGTTCCACTTGAATCATCAACTTCTTTAAGGGCACAGAGCAGCTTCGACATACTTGAAAAATGAGCAAGCTCTGCGGGCTTTTGAACTCTTTGTCAAAGCCCCTCCAACTCTGCTTCCCTTCTTCCCTTTTGCTCTGTTTGTCTCTTCAACTTCGAAATACTTTTTGACTTGAGACAGCGCAGTGCACATCTCTTCTATGCAGATGTTTGAGGTTACTTGGAATGGCAGCCCTCTACACGAAGCAAGGCACACCTTTTGCAAGCTCCACTGTGACTGTCCTGAGCAAGGACCCTTGACCCTCACTGGGCCCAAAATGCACCCTCAGGTGCCCCGGCCACGTCCTGGAGGGTGATGTCTTCTTGCTGCAGCCCAGGCCTCTTGCCCATGATTGGGCTTGGCATCCTGGAAGCACTGCGTCTTTAAAAGAGCCTTCAGTACATCTGTTCTCAATTTTCAGACCACAAGGCGAGGATTTGGGTGCAAGGAGTTTATCTGGGAAGTGATCCCAGGAAGCACTGTGAGGGGTCAGGGAGGTGGGAGAAGAGGGTGGGGAATCCAAAGTGCACTGAAGGGCAGGCGACTGCAGGGACAGTGGGGCCAACCCACCAGGACCCTCTGAGAGAAGTGAGGAGCTTGCCTCAGAGCCATCCCACCCAGGGAGATGGGCTGTCCAGCTCCCATCCCTGTGGTCAAGCGTTGCTCCATGGTCAGAGGATGGCCTCGGGGCAGAGAGACTGGGGAAGCAACACTGAATGCTCTGAGTCCTGGAGGGGAGACTGAGGCAGCCAGGGAGGATGCTGGCCATGTCTGCCCCAGTTCTTTTCATAAATGATCCCATCCTGAGTACTTTGTCTACGTGTGGGTTTCCTATTAATACAGATGGGAGTCTGTTTTTAAATGCTTGTCCTTGTTGAAGGGGAATTATTTTAATTGTATATTTGTGCATGTTCAGAAATTCCTTAGGTGAAATACTATAAGAAATTATGCATAAGTCAGCTGAGCTAGAAAATGGGTGACCACGGGGAGAGTGGAAAACCTTCTTTAACCCTTTGAGGTCTCTGAGCCCTTTATCGGCCTTCGGGCTCTGGATTCTAGGCCTATGTAATGGCCCCTCCAGCCTCAGCAACAAAGCTGCCTCTTCTGGCAGGCCCTGTCTGAGGAGGCTCTGCCGTGGAGATTCTTTTCCTGTGCACTATGTCCGACCCATGGGTATCTGCCTCGGACCTTCCTACATTAAACGGAAGGTATGTGTTTGTTAATGGCGCCCAGCCTGCACCCTGCGTTGGACACCCCCTCAGTACCTAATGCAGGAGTTGCCAAACTGAATCCCCCCGCCAAGACAAGCACCCTCTTGGGAGTCAATGCACAGAATTTTGTGGAGTTAAAGTGAACCAGTTGAATGATGCGCTTTTACATACAGATTCATGACCGTCCTTTTTCCCTTCGTATTTCAAATTCCAAATCCAGACCAGTCATTGGGCCCCACCTTCCGACCCCAGGAGTGACCTGTTTCTGGTGTTCTAGGCAGTTGTGTTCCTTCCCTTGTCAGCAGCATCTGATGTGCGCTGGACTGTGGTGCCTGGTGGAAGGAGATACATCCTGCAAGACCAAGCTGGACCCTCCCCTGGACGGTACCGAGTGTGGGGCAGACAAGGTAACCCCCGCCTCCCACAGCCCTCCCCCGGCCCCCATCTCCTGGGCATCGGGCACGTCTCTTGAAGGGGAGGTGGTCTGCACTGTACTCAGGAGTGCCTGAAACTCCCCTTGGGCAGCCCCAGAAAGGCCCATGGAGCCCACTCTGGGCAAAAATGGACACTTCTATCACCTTTCTCCTTTTTTTTTTTCCGGTGAGATATAAAAATCGCTTAATATTTTTGTTAAATTGACTCTTTTTGTCACACAAGTGAATTTCCTTAAAAAAAAAACAAACCTTTTACATCAATAAACCGTACATGGGAAAACAGGATCGCTGGCCACATGCAAAAGGCTATCCTAAAACGAGTTTGATGAGAACAGTGTTAGGCGATTCTAGCTCGAGGTTAAGAGAGCGAGGCCTGATGTTCATTAACAGGAGAGACTGGTGTTGGCGAGGGGGGGTGTTCAGGGCCAGCAGCCACAGATTTCTCCTTAGTCTTACTGCAAGGAGGGAACGAGATGCCATGATGAGCAACCACGAAATCACCTCTCGTGGCCCGGAAGTGCCACGCACATTGGGAAATTCCCTCTTGGAGCAGGGGCTTTCCCTTATTCTCAGAGCCAAGGTTCACCCCTTTGGAGGTGGCAGCGTCCTCTCCGAGCACCAAACCCAGCTTCAAAGTGCAAAACCACAGAGCCAGGAAACGCAGCCTTCCAGAGAGACGACGCGCTCGCGTGAAGTAAAGTTGGCCAAAGCTCAGGTCTCTTCAAGAGCCATGTGAATTAATCCTTTCTCTGAGAATTCAGAAAACTCCAAGGGAACCCATTCCGTGTGGACTGTGAGGGCAAAATGCAAAGCCCACAGGGACGGGCTCTAGAGTTCCCAAGCATGCCTGCCCCCGCAAGGGTCTACTTTTGTGTAAATTATCAAAAGCCACTGGGGATGGCGTGGCGTTTTCTCGTGGGGGGGACCTGCAGTGATGTGGTGAGCGAGCAGGTGGGCTCCTCGGCGCTGAGCGCCCCTGGGGCCCGGGGCCCGCCCTGCTGTGTTTCAGTGGTGCCGCGCAGGGGAGTGTGTGAGCAAGACGCCCATCCCGGAGCACGTGGACGGAGACTGGAGCCCGTGGGGCGCCTGGAGCATGTGCAGCCGGACGTGTGGGACAGGAGCCCGCTTCCGGCAGAGGAAGTGTGACAACCCCCCGTAAGTCCCCCTTGACCAGGCATTCTCCAGGGTGCCCTGATCAGGGTTTCCAAATCACAGCTCTTACTGCCTGATGCCAAGGAGGGTCTGTCTCCCGAGGAGAATTTGAGCTTAAGGGAAGAAATGAAGTCACTCCAAGGGCCCGGGGTGCAGGGGTGTCGTGTGCATCATATGGCGTCTCGGCTTAAACAGAGCTCTTGCTGTGAGCGTGGATGCAGTAAGTCCTGTGGTGAGCTGGCTCCTTATCCCTTGTGTGGGCCTGAGTAGAGAGCTTTCATGAGACAGCTGGGTGACAGTCTCCCTTTGCAGGCTTCCTCAGTCAAGGGTCATTCCAGGGAAGCCTGTGGACCTTCCGGAAGAATGGCCGACCTTCAGATTGGCTGGCTGTTAGCTGATCTGGGAGCCGCCTGGCTGTGGATGAGTCACAAAGCATCTGGGGGTTCAGCTGTCTTTCTTCATCCAGATATTTTTCACCTGTGTTCTTAGAAGTGTTTGGCAGAAAATCGTTTTTTGGGTTTTGTTTTTTTTTTCCCTCATTGGCTTCCTTTTATTGACCTTGATGACGACCCCTCTTGTTCTTGGCACATTTGTTCCAGAAAGCTCAGAGCTGTATTTTGTGCTTCGTTACGATAATTCCTTTCTCACAGGTTTTTCTCTTCTCCTCTGAGAGTTCCCATTTTTAATATTTCATAGAATAGTCTGTTTTATGTCTTGTGTGCCGTCAGCTGCATCACATTAATTTTGAAAATGAATGAGCAAAAAGAAAGGCTTTATATACACAATTAAGTCATGTTGATGAATAATTAGCAGTCTTCTCTTGTGTTTAAAAATTCCGATGCCCGACAGATGAATAGATAAAGAAGATGTGGTATATATATACAATGGAATATTATGCAGCCATCAAAAGGAATGAGATCTTGCCATTTGCAACAACGTGAATGGAACTGGAGGGTATTATGCTGAGCGAAATAAGTCAATCAGAGAAAGACATGTATCATATGACCTCACTGATATGAGGAATTCTTGATCTCGGAAACAAACTGAGGGGTGGGGTGGGAGGGATGGGGTGACTGGGCGATAGACACTGGGGAGGGTATGTGCTCTAGTAAGCTCTGTGAATTGTGCAAGACTGTTGAATCTCAGATCTGTACCTCTGAAACAGATAATGCAATATATGTTAAGAAAAAAAAAAGAAGAAGAAGATAGCAGGAGGGGAAGGATGAAGGGGGGGAAATCGGAGGGGTAGACGAACCATGAGAGACGATGGACTCTGAAAAACAAACTGAGGGTTCTAGAGGGGAGGGGGGTGGGAGGGTGGGTTAGCCTGGTGATGGGTATTGAGGGCACGTTCTGCATGGAGCACTGGGTGTTATGCACAAACAATGAATCATGGAACACTATATCTAAAACTAATGATGTAATGTATGGGGATTAACATAACAATAAAAAATAAAAATATCAAAAAAAATAAAAAAAAATAAAAATTGTGACTATGAATTGGAAATAGTGTTTGATGACAAATTACAAAAAAAAAAAAAAAAAAAAAAATTCCGATGCCCAGGCTGTATCCCAGACCAATTAAATCACAAGTTCTGGGGCTTGGACCCAGGAACTGGATGTTTTAAATCTCTACAGGTGAACCCAAAGGCCAGCCAAGGTTGAGACCTCCTGATTAAAGGAAAACTGACCTCACAGATTAGTCAAGGTCAAGAGCACAGTTTTCCCCCCAGTAGTGCTATAAGAATTGGCATCACATACTGTGTCTTGTTAAAACTTTTCCTTCCAGTATTTAGCAGAGTGCCTGAAAAATAATAGGTGGGTTTTTAATCTTTTAGGAATGACTTCTTAATTCAGAGCATAGAGGGTGTACTGGGATTCTTTAGAGAAACAATCAAGGAATATATATATATATGATTTGCGATGAGAAATCGGCTCATACAATTATGGAGGCTGGAGGGGGGGGTCCGACGATCTGCCATCTGCAAGCTGGAGACCCAGGGGAGCTGGTGATGTCGTCACATCCAGGTCTGAAGGCCTGAGAACCAGGGGAGCTGATGGTGTAAACCCCAGTGGGACAGCAAGAGAAATTGCGGAGAGAGGTCCTAGTGGGCGTAGAGGGCGCATGGGGTGGGTGTGAATTCCTCCTTCTTCCGCCTTTTGTTCTATGGAGGCCTTCAGGGGATTGGATGATGCCCCTTGGGGAGGGCCATCTACATTACTGCATCCACAGATTCAGATGCTAATCTCATCCGGAAACCCCCTCACAGACACACCCAAAAATAACCCTTAAGTCAGTCAAGTTGACACAGAAAAATAACCATCAGAGATGTGTAGATGGTTAGAAAGCCTGTTTAGCTAAATGGTGAGAAATTAATAGAGGTTTCAGTTTTTTCATAGTTCTGTGAGGAAGTTAAAATAATTTTGCCTCGGGCCCTGAGAAGAGAGCTCTGTGGGGCATCTGGGGGGCTCAGTCGGTTGAGCGTCTGCCTTCGGCTCAGGTCATGATCCTGGGGTCCTGGGATTGAGCCCTGAGTCAGGCTTCCTGCCCAGTGGGAAGCCTGCTTCTCTCTCTTCCCCCCCAACCCTGCTCCTGTGCTCTCCCTCTTGCTCTTCTCTCTCTCTCTCAAATACATAAATAAATAAATAAAATCTTTTAAAAAATGAAGAAAAAGAAGAGAGCTCTGGGTTTGGAATCAGGATGCTGAGATTTGGGCCTGGCTTCGTTGTTCTTCATGTGACCTCAGGGAAGCCCCTCCTCTTCTCTGGGCCTCAGTTCAGCCATTAGAGGGAACGGGCGGGGTATAGTGAGGAGAGCTGGCTTTCGAAGCAGGAACAGACAAGGTTTCAAGTCCCAGCACCACTCCTATAGCAGCTGATGGCCAGTATGTGTGTCTCCATCTGAAGTTGGAATAAGTCATGGGAATGCATATAAAGTCATGGTCTATATTGAGTACATGGCCCCTCTCCATTTTAGCACTAACAGAATGGAGATGAGACTGTGTGCCCTGTCTCCTGACATACAGGACTGTGTGAGGCTCGGAGGAAGGTGATTTACATGGAAAGACTTTGTTCAGAGCAGGGTACAATTTGCAAGAGTTGTAGCTGTCCTGGTGCTTCCTGTTTGCATCCAGAGCTCTTATACCCTGGCAAAGGATCAGTCTCCCTCAGCACATCATTCCATATCAGGTGCCACCCAGGAATGTCATAGTAGGGGCATATCAGAACCTTTAAATGCCCAGAAAGACCCTGTGCCCCGAGACAGTTGACAATTGGATTGTATTTAGGTGAGGACAACCCTTATAAAAAGATGTCATCAGTGCTGAGCAGATGCTAAATTAGGCGCAACTTTTAAGGGCCCTGACTGTTTCCTTGGCATGACGTTGGCTAAGGCATCCCCCATACCTTGGCTGTACCCATTGTTCCCATCCCAGCTGCTTTCTGCCCTGCCTACTCCTAAAGAACCCCTAGTTCAGAAAGCTGAGTTAGCATGCCCTCCCCCACCCGCTTGGCCCGCTGTGGGATTTCATAGGCTGGGTCTTCACCCCATTCCTCCAGGCCCAGTAGCCTTAAGAGAGAGGATGTACCAGAAACCCCAAAATTTTTGTAAAAATCTTCCATTCCTCTTCTTTATCAGGTACCCCCCATCCTACCTGGTGGTAGTCATGAGCTTTATCTCTCTTTGCCCCTCTTCCTCTGTCTTATCATTGAGGAATGGGGGACTTTGCCAGGCCTCTGCAAACAGGCTGCCGAGGGATATGTGGGTCTCAGCACGTCAGATGGTTATGGGCCCTGGAGAGAGAGGTCTTTATGTCCGATCTCTGTCATCCAACAACATCCCATGGGGCAGGCAGTGGTAGAAGGACCAGAAAGAGAATGCTGGTGTTCTCATGTCTCCTGGCTCCCGTGCCCCTTCTCAGTCATGCCTTTCCAGAATGATACCTTCAGTACACCTCGACAGGGCTCTGACTCTGGGCCAAGATCTCTGCTAGGTCTAGGCTTATAGGTGACAAGCAAAAACAGATAAAGTCCTTGCCCACTCTCAACGGGCACAGTTCTGCCAACTTCCTTTGGTCTTCTCCTGGATGCCTCAAACCTGACTCTTCCCGGACTGTGATCTCTCCTCCCAGCGCACATCTCCACTCCACATTAACAGCACCGTCCTCCATCACCTTGCTCCAGTCCAAAGCTCCTGAGTCCATGAATGGTCCCCTTGTCCCTCTCTTCCTCCTCCACATGCTCTTGTGATAAGAATGGCGAGTGCAGCGAGCCTGCACCATGTGCCGGGTTCCCTTTTCAGCATTTACAGGCAGTAAAGCATTGAATGCTGCCCTACAGGACAGGTACTCTTTTTCGCCCCACTGGTTAGAAACTGAGTCATGGAGAGGTTAGGTAACTTGCCCACGGTCACATAGCTGGTGTAGAGCCCAGCGGCAAGGCTCCACTGTTCTCTCAGACCTTTAGCAGCGGCCTCCCTGCTTCCCGCATGCTCCCTGCCCTCTGGATTCATTCTCTACACAGAGCCAGAGAGATCCACTTGAGCAAAATTCCAGTTCTCTCTCTTCCTGCTACAGCCCTTTCCATCGTTCCCCGCTGCACTTAGAATAAAGTCCATACTCTTGACCATGGCCTCTGTGTTCGTTTCCGGGGGCCGCCATCATAAGTTACCACAACTCGGGTGTCTTGACACAGCAACTTATCCTCTCCGCGTTGTAGAAACCGGAAGTCTGAAGTCAGGGTGTTGGCAGGGTTGATTCCTTCTTGAACCTGAAGGAGGATTCATCCCACCCATGCCTCCCCCGACCTTCTGGCGTCTGCTGGCGCCCTCTGGTATGCTTTGCCTTTGTAGACTTGCCTCTGTCTTCACGTGGCCTTCTCTCGTCTTCTGAGGACACCTGTCACTGGATTTAGGGCCCACCCCAAGTCAGGATGATCTCCTCTCCTACTTAAGAGATCCTCACTTATATCTACCAAGACCCTTTTTCCAAGAAGGTTCTAGGTGG